TGGAGTGGACCACAAGTCGTATCCACCAAATAGACCTTGGCTTTAGTCCAAGACTCAAAAGTTTTCTTCTGCTGTGTCTCTACAGTCTTGGACTTCTCATTCTTCCTTGGCCTCAGGCTCAAGGAAAGGGTTTGGATATGCAGAATGTACTCAAGCTCAATGTCTAGGTGTACAGCTATAGATCCTACTGTGCTAAGCAACCTTGTGGAGTGATCTTCTTACTAGTAAAATTTGCACACCAATAATAAAACAAAGGTAAGTTTGTGGTTCTTCTAGACCTATGTATAAATAGATTACCTATTTGTTGTTGAGTGTGTAAATCTTGATTTTCATTAAATTTTCTACGCACAATCGCAAACTGATAAAACCATGTGAGGGGGAAGTCAACTATGACACGTCTAAATCATAGATAAATTACTTCGTCAGCCAGTCTGATTAATATTGTACAAATAATAGGGCAGCAATTAATGAATAAAGAGGTGATTGAACAAACTGTAATGAGTATGATGAAAGCTGCTCTGTTTGTTTTATACCTCTTTGCCTTCTACTCACAACAGGGGAATGTTCATTGAATCTGTGTACAACAGTGTTTGGTTCAAGAGCAGGGTATCCGCGATCAAGATTAGACTCCATAGTCAATCTTCCAAATGTCTAAAACTTACAATTTGGTTGGTAACAATGTCTTGGACCGAATACATGTAAATTACTGTTGTAATTACTGATAAAAATGTACTTATATTCTTTTGAACACATTTGATACAGTGACAATTACTTTTCTGAAAAATAGATGTGCTCTCTTCATAACAAATATATGTATCTCTGTTTTAAATCCTAGGTTGCAAAATAAAGAGCTATGGCATCTGCATGTACTGCTAGTTCATGACAAATGAACATTTATTGTCCATCTCTTCAAATTGAAAAGGTAAGCAGTATCAATTACCAAAATTGATCTATCATTTTTCATAATCCTTGTAAGAAGTCTAATACCCATCTTACCCATTCTGTTAGATAAAACATACACAAATGGTAATGAAAGGATTTTTTTTTGTTATCCAAAGCAAACAATTTTTATCTTCTGTAACTATTTTTTATTCTCCTACTTTATTTATTTAGCAATTAAAGTTTTTGAAATAATCATAAATACAAAAGTTGAAGATTGATTGAAAAGTTGTACTAGTATTTAGTAATTGATTCATTTATTACATAACTTTCAATTCCTATTCTAGACTGCAGAGCCTGAATTACCTGCAACGTTATGCCTCTTATGAAACATCAGCCAGCCTACAGATAGAAGCTCCCTTTTCCAGCTTTAAGCAAGAGGAACCACAATGAGATACAGATCTTGGTATCATGGACTGGTCACTTTTTACAACCAACACTACTTGTAAATTAAGATTTACAAATTAATTCCTAAAAGCTATCAAAAATGCTCTAGTCAAGGTACTAAAATTTTGCCATCGAGTTTGAGGTTTTGGGTTTGATAAAATGTTAACATAAAATATTTCAAAGGAAGTAAACGTTTTAATGATACTTCCAAGATTTCCTACATTTTAAACTGAATTTTAGAATTTTGCAGAAGAAAAGAGAAGAAATAAAAAGCTATTATTCTGTCGTGGAGGTTATTGTTACCAAACTCACATTACATAGATAATTTTGTTCATGGCAATAAATCTTAAAATATCAAATTGGAATTTCTTAATTAGCAATTCATCTGAGCAGCAGTTTGATGACCAATTTGGAACTCTTACTAGAGGCACTTCTTGCATGACTGTGTATCGATAATTACCTGTTGGTGCTTAAAGTGCTATTGTAGCAATTGCACAACAACAAATACAAAATAAACAACAGAACATTGTGATTGATTTTTCCTGCAGGAAATATATTAACTCTGACTTATGTTGTCCTTAGAATTTTTTGTCAAAGCTGATAGAAAAGAATTGATTAATTTCATATAGACAAACTATTGCATCAAGAAACCACATTCTCACCGACTGCGTGACCTTACATGACAATGTACATGTATATCATCCTTAGATTAACAACCGTATGAGTAACAGAAATATTTGTGACAAGTATTACTCTTTCAATCTCCATAAAAGTAACTCGAATAGAGAGTGGCAGATATCAGCTGCAGTAGTTTTAACAACTGGCTGATACTTTCATAGGAGCACTTTTATTTGTGTCATTTAAAATATTGTAATTGTATCCCTTGAATGTGTTTGATATGCTCATCATTTACAAAATGTAGATTTCATTCATTAAAGCATAAACATATTGATTATACTTTAAAATCTGTGTTAATTTTGTTTTGTATGTATTTTTTGTCTTTTAAGAAGATAAAAGGGGGGGGGGGGAATGAATGGATGAAATTGTATGCTAGCACATGGTGATAATAATTACATGATGATAAAGGGCAATGATGTGATTCAAGAATGGTGTGTTTGTATGCTGGTGAGTTATTGTTATAAGTTGGTGTTTATTTATTCATTTTTGTTCTTTATTTATTTTTTTTGTGGGGGAAGGGGGGGGGGGGGGGTGTTCATGAAGAAACAAAATTACGGCAAGCAAAGCGTTGTGATGGGAGTGTCGTTTTATGTTAATGAGAGACAGAGAGAGAATATGAACGAAATAAGGACACATAATTGTAAGCGCATATGATAAAAAAAAATATAGAAAAAGGGGCACATAACAAAATGGAAAAGGGTCACTTCTAAGAAGAAAACATAAAAAGTTATTAGAAATAACAAAAGGAACTTTAAAACAAAGTGAAACGGGACAAACTTCATGAAGGAAAAGTACACTTGTAATAAACAAAAAGGGATGTTAATCAGATGTATAAGGGGCACTTAAACCCTATCTAGCATGGGTTATTTTGAAACTGCATAGCCTGGGGGGTCCGGGCCCTCTCCCCTGGAGAAAAAAAAACGTGTAAGAACACGTTAACTACCTTTTTTTTGGAGATGGGCCCCCTTCCTTGGCGCTCAATTTGATTTTTCAAATTTTCGAGGGCCCCCCCCCCCCACTGAGCGAATTATCGGCCGGCTGTTTCGCTGCTAAATATTGTCTCACGAATTGGGCCCCCTCCCGTGCCGCCGGCTGGATAAGGCCCCCCCCCCCCAGGCTAGATAGGGTTAAAGGGAAAATGGGCCGCCCATGTATTTTTGAAGAAAAAAAATGGGCCAATGTGCTCCCCCCCCCCCCCTCCAGAGTGCCACATTTGGTATTGATAATGCCTAACTATGATGATTTTTTAAAAAATTGGTTATGAACAAAGATTTGTTCCCCCAAGAACATAATTCTTCATTTTCAGATGTATGTTCAAATTGAAGCTAGCCGACACTTGCGCCTTTGAAACCAATGAATGCTGAACATAGCATATCAATAATGCAATAAATAAGGATAAAATTGATTTAAAATTGATATGGATCACACTCTAACTTAAAATCGATTTTAAGGCCAAAATCGATTTTATTTATTTAGTGAAACTGCTGCTAAAATCGAAATCAATTTCAGGCCCTTAAAATCGATCAAATCGATTTTAGATCGATTTTAGGGCTTTAGTGAAACACCCCCCAGAACAACTTGGAGAAAGAACAACTTCAGCAAGGCATTGCTGTAAGTCTTGAGTACTAGTAAAGTAATAATAGTTGAAATCAATCAATTCGGATTTCTCATTTTTGCGCTAGAAATACATATCATCGATAGTATGAAATCAACAATTTCATTATGGCAATTATGATGGCAATGGTGAAACTAAATATCGCATAATATAAGTTTTAAACCATATTAGGTAAAAACTGAATTGTATGTCTGATGCTTCAATACAAGTGTCAAATAATATTTATTAAAAAATTCAGAGATTGAAATAAGAAACCCAAAATTCAAAATGAAATCTTTATTTTTTTATTTTCTTGCTTTGTTTTGGATGACAGAGCCTGGCAACTCAGCTTGGAGTTAAGGCTGATGGAGATAGCACAGCCCTCCTCACTAAGATCAGCTCTCTGGTGACAGAATCAGAGAGGAGGAGAGTGTCCGCAGAGAGAAGGGCTAAGGCATTTGAGGAGAGGTACCTGGACCATGCCATGAATGGTCAAGTCTTGGAGCTAGAGCTGGCTGAGGCCAGAAAGCAGAAAGATGCTGCTTTGAAGAATCTCCAAGTAAACAATCTATTTATTTATTTTTCTATTTTTGTTGCATATCGGTTTGACGGTATAACAATGTTGCTTTTCATTAGTCCCATTTTTGTCTCTTCCCATAGGGTTCTCTTATTTCAAAATCGAGAAAAAGAAGGCATGCTAATATGATACTGTAACGAAACCGGTTCCTGTCGATGTTCTTCCCAGCAGCTTCTCTTGTCAGGATGCCTTCTGCTGGTAGGTTTTCCTGGTCCGGTACCAATTTTACCGTGGATCCGTTTGGCAGAAATATACTGCCCCGTTGACGTTGACACCAGTCTGATATATTGCTCCGCACCACCTCTCGACCACCGTCTTCTACCAACCGTTGTACCGTCGTATACCACAAGCCAACTAGGCCAGTCCGCTTCTGCACCTTTCAGACGTCTATACCAGTCTGCTTGTGCATGCAACTCCAATTGGCCGCACCAGTTTGCTTCATGCACCTTCCAGACGTCTATACCAGTCTGCTTGTGCATGCAACTCCAATTGGTCGCACCAGTTTGCTTCATGCACCTCCAAACAACCAGACCGTCTGACTTCGTACAGTCAGCTTACTCGACCATGCCACTGGCTCTGCTACACAGTAGTCCCTGGTATTGTCTAATACTAGAACGTAAAAGACCCAACAAACTCAACCTAGATTCTTACCATGGTCGTCACCTAAAATCAGACTTCAACTTTAGGTTTCCCCATGGAAAGACATGCAAACGATCATCTCAATCATTTCGTTGCACGCAATACTTTATTGGGCAAATATCCAAACATAATCTGATTGCCTTACAATGTAAGTGTGCCCAGTGGGCGACGGCAATTATGTAGACTATGACAGGAAGCTCACAGGCACGTGAGACAATTGATTTATATACACATTTCTTATACATTTATTATTCTGGTTAGGTTTCCAAAAATTACATAAACATTGATATAACTCCACTTTCCAATATCAGATTGAAACAAACCATATATCAAATGAAAGCACTAGTTTTATTCTATAAAACTAAACAAAAGAGAACAAGTAATTATTAATGGTAGAAAAGTAATTACACTAAAACTGTCAAAAACATGCACAATCGAACATTCTTAAAATTAACACGTGACTTTAGCGTCGTATATTTAACCTGAACTACGCCATCTACGCCGAAATAACTATCTACGAAATGAAACCAATTTCGTGACAATACAAACAAATATATTCATAGTTGTATAACTATAGAATGTCCATGAGAAATACTGTTCGATTTTCTTTTGTGTTTTTCCTTTAGGATCTGACATGGCAGCCAACGGTCCTATCTCCTGCAGACAGCGGCCCGTCTACTTGTGTCTCTTGGTAAATATCCACAACAAAAAATACATTAAGCACAATAAAAGTGAAATAGTAATGCTCTTGTTAATTTAAAGTGGTGTAATTGAGAAACATGGTTAATATTTCCAACTTTTTGTGAAGAGCATTACGCCATGGAATCAATATCGATTCATACTCACAGGAGGCCAATATCATAATGGGAAATGTTATATCGGTATTTCTGTTGTCTTTAGGTGTTCTGGAGATAATCCATCTACAGCACCATTAGACAATGGAGTAGCACCCACCCATCCATCTACTCCTAGCACAGCCCCCATCGACACCATCCCGTTGTCCCTCATGTAAGAATCACAAACAAAGGGCTACCCTATGTAAACAAAAATAGTGATAAATAAAACATACAAACAAACAAATAAATGATGGAATAAAATTCGGATTATAGATGAATTAATTAATTGATTAACTAATAATTAAAAGAATGAATACACCAGGAAACCATAAATATATAAATACCCCAACAAAAAATATATATGTATATATATATATATATATATATATATAACATTCTAGAGAGATGCAAGCAACGTTTGTGTGCTCTTGAATCTGCCACTAGTCTGGTCAGAAAGTATTATCTTGTGGGGTGAAAGTATAAACATGAACGAATTCTTCTGTTTTTCCATTTTTTCATTAGACCACCTAGCCGCAGCCCTTGGGCTAGTGGCCCTGGTACCCCTCCAGCTGGTACCCCTCTAACAGTTCCTCTGCCCGCTCAGGCCCCAGTGGTTCTCCAACTTACTCTACACACAGCTTCACGGTAAGACAACATTATTTTTTCTTTAACAACATTTTTAAAAATATTTTTGTTTGGAAATTTCTAAAACAAATGAAAACATTCGATTACCTTTTCATTTAAGTGGGCAAATGCAAAAATCTGAGAAGGTTTTTTGTGATTTGTTTGTTTGATTGTATTTTTATATTTTTTTATTACTTCGATATCTATCTTCTCTAACCAGATCTCCAAAAGTGAGTGCTGCTGATGGTGGAACCACTTCGCCTTCGAGCAGAGCAGCTGTCCCAGCCCAAGGCCCATCAGCCTCCTCCTACGTTTGGGGGATGTCTGATCTGATGTCGTTTCACAAGGGCGGTGGCGACGTCTTCTTGGGTAGCGGGGCCAACGGGACGGTACATCTCTATCGTCATTGTGCAACCGACCATCCGATCGCGCTGAAAACCTTCGAGCTACCTGACGACATCAAAGCAATGACAAGGAAGGTTGGTTTAAACTAACTAAATTAACAAAATAATTTGGTTGCCGCCGCTTTATGACTGAGCATTGTAGCGACATACGATGACTAAAGAGAGGGAAGAATGAGAATGATGATGAAAACATAAAAACAACAATACTGATAATGGTCATGAATTTGTATCTATACTCAAGTATCTTTTTTTGTTGTTGTTCAACCTGACAGGCGACTGCCATCCAGTCGGAAGCTTTCATCCTTGACGTTCTCGGCAGGGAGGATTGCTTTCCCACTTTTCTTGGATGCTTGGAGATCAGCCCAGGTAAGATAGGTCTTGCGATGGATTTCGTCGGGGATACGATGACGGGAGAGTCCTGGACACTGAGCCGTGGCATGCGAAACCTAGCCCTTAGTCAGCAATGCTGGTGAGTATCTCTTTAAATCTTTAAGTCTTTGAACGATCAAAAGTCTTTATGTGAGTGCTACATTATTTTGATAGAGGCCTAGTGGATATGACAGCAGTCTGTGGACAGACATTGATCTCCATTTGCCACTTTCGACCCAGGTAAAATAAACGATGATGATGATTGATGTCGTTGTACTTCAGGGCAGTAGACAGTTTGTATAAAATAATGCATTTTTGTTAAACAATTACCGTCCTTTTTCTTTAAACAGGCTTGCTCTGGCTCTCGACATCGCCAAGTCACTAGGTCGCATCCATGAGAAAGGCTTTCTCATGAACGACCTTAAAGAAGATAACTGCTTGCTCCGGAAGACACCAACTGGTCGGTGGCAAGCAGTTATCGTGGACTTCGGGCTCGCGTGTCCTTGCGATGCACCTTACTTCTACCGTTTTTCCGATGAAAACAAGGAGAAGTACCGTAGAAGGGTATGCTGATTATTGTCTGTTTTTTCTTCTAATGTGATTACTTTGAAATTTGGTAAATCATTTTTGTGTGTGTGTGAGAAAAATGGAAAGGGGCATAATAAGCGAATAGATCGATATTACTAACAGGATTATTTGGCTAATTATTGTTTTTCATATTTTTGTTGACATCATAGACAATGTGCCCACAGGATCTCAAACATATTAAGAATTGGGCCCGGAACGCTTCCCTTTCTTGGCTATCTACCCGTATTACGTCATAGTATTTCACTCAAGTTTATATCATTTGTATTTCAGTAGCTTGTGATCTTCTCGGGGTGCAATGAAGTTGATGTACAGGTAGTTAAAAATATAAACAAATACCCTTTTATTTAAAAGAATTTCAATCGTCATGTGTTCCCCTCTTATTTTTACAGGAGGTGCATGTCCACATCGCTCCTGAATGCGCCCTCGATGACCGGCTGACCTCGGTCGCGAGCGACGTGTTCCAGCTCGGAAGACTTCTCACCTTAATGGGAGGTGCTACGACCAATGCCGATCTCACCGCCATCGGCAACATCTGTCGACAGAGCTCACAACTCTGCCGACCTAGCATCGAGGAAGTCGTAGCCGAGCTGGAGAGAATGATGTAGACAAGCACTGTATTCGATAAAATATCAGATTATATTAATTTTTTTAATTCGATTCAATTTCAAATCAATTTCAATTTATCTTTCTTTGTTATATTTTCCAATTCCAGAAATTTACAAATCGCCATGCGTTTTTCATGCATTCAAAAGCCGTTGTTACTTAAAGTCGAATTTAACTCACAACATATTATTGCAAGCTCTTTAAAGTGAAAACAAATGACATCCAAATAACTTTTATTGGATAATTTATCTTTGGAGATAGGTAAGTATCACCAAAAAAAAATACAAAGATAAAGCAATAGGCCTAATTTGTCAAGACTTAACAGCAGTGGACAATTTGCGATTTGTAATAACTAATACGGAAAACGCAAATGAATTCAGTATCATAATTATATATTGGTATTTGCGTTATTATATAGGCCTACATGCGCTGGTTTGGTATCTTTTTTAGTTCATGCAACATAAAAAGTCAATTTTTTTTTTTGAAGGGGGGGGGGGTTATAATGAAATGTCTGATATCTTTTCGAAACACAGTGTTAGGTAAGTATTGTAAATATTCATTCTATTCTTCGTGTTTTGTATATGTATATGATGATAGAACTAAACAGGAATTACTGGCATTACTATGTCTTGAGTTCATGAAAAACTTTTCAGGTTGAAATTCAAATCATATGAACCAAATGAATACACTTTTGAGTTTGAGCAAGATTTTTAATAATGTAACGGTATAGCACATAACAATTTCAAATGACACAAAGAGTTCTGTCAAACTTGGAAATAGCCTACTTGTGTTTGTTTTTTCTTTTCTTTTTTAACAAAAGGCAGGCTGCGCCCATGTGAAATCTAAACACAGTACCGTCTGATTTGAAAAGAAGAGAAAAATCTTATGCAAAACAAACGACTGCAAGACGATCCCCATGAATGTAATCAACGGACATACTTTGTAAATACCGAAACAATGAAAAGTTAAATTAATTCAAATGAAAATAAATTAAATCATTTGAAATCGAATGAAATTAAATCATTAAAAAGAAAACAATATTTTTCTTTGACCTAAGAATTGAACAAGAAAAACAATTCACAGTTTTTAAAATCAATTGCTCACATTTTTCCTTACAAAATTAATATTGGATGGTTTCGGAAAACCTCTAAGTATTCGGAGATGGAATAATCGGTATTAACCGAAGGTAGACCATCACGGTACAGAGCGGGATGGGGCTCTGTACATGGTAGGGTTCTTGTCATTACAGCTTTTCTTTATTATAGGCTACGACGTACAATAGTAATGTGACAAAACAACGAAATATGAATAGGTACATGTATACTAACTTTGATATACTTTTAAAAATGTGGAATGCAATTATGTCGCGAGACTTGTCCCCTGCAGCTTTATCGTAAATTATGACGATGACGTGGCCTCACTGAAATCATTTAAGTATGCATAAGAGCACCATAGTACCATTTATGGAACTCAAGGTTTAAAATAGGCGGGCCCCGGATGCTATTTTTTTTTCCCAAACAGGTTTGCCAATGCTAATGTTTCCGGTCATCTGATTGGCTGATATGTTACGTCATTATGACGTAACCGTTAGGGTGAGTGATAAGGTTATAGAAATCATGCAGAATCACATTTCATCAACCCATCGTTGGCTCAATCGGTAAGGTCAGCGTATTACAATCATAGTGTTGTGGGTTCAAGTCACAGTTTAATCCGTTTTTTTGTCTTTATAAATAGTGAGGCAAAGCAATAAAAAATCAAAGTCTAATTTTATTGTTTGTGACCTCTTTCCAAGCTGAAAATGACGTAGAACATATCAGCCATTGAGAAGAACGGAAATATAAGAAATTGCAAACCTGTTTGGGAATAAAAATTTCGCGCCCCGGACCCCACCCCGTAAATGCTTCGCACCCGCAATTAAGTACATTTCACGCCCCACCCCTTTTTGGAAAAATTCGGTTCCGCACCTGGGTTGAGAGCTCTGTACATTGAATAATACGCTCTAGTGAAGAAAAGGGTTTCAATTCACATTTGAACGTATACAATTAATGGCGGCTTTTTGAACACCATTGTGATCATTCAAATAGCTATACATTCATTTTAGCAACACCATTTTTCTAAAGGCACCATTTGAAGATGTCCTTAACAGATTTTACAGGTTTTTGCCGCGATGGGACAAGCTTGAGCATCTAAATTTCATCATTTTTTTGGTTGACAGGCTGCATGATATTAATAAATGCCAACTGAATAGGAGGGGTTAGGTTACTCTCCGTAGACAATGATTCGGGGTGGAAGGGGTTGAAACCCTCTGAATCCAGTGCTGGAAACGCCATTGGTTTTTTCTTCATGACCAGTAACTAACCGTAGTTGCACAAATAAATTCATCGCCTGAGCAGGATACCCTATAAAGCTCCCTCTTAAATATGGTGTGCCGATGAAAAGCATTGGCTAATCTAAGGGGTAATATACACTGTTGGTCATAATGGTGTAGTAATTATTTTTACCCCAATTTATGGAATGATTTAATCCTAATAGATCTAGATAAAAGTATATTCTCAGATTTTATTGAATAATAATTTGTGAGTGTTTGTTTTGCGTGACTGCTAAAGCATGTGTATGTTACTATGGTAATCAACTAGGGGACCTACGCCATTAAATCATAACTGACAGTAATGAGGAATAATGCCTCATAAAAGGGCACTAATATAGCTGATCGACACGGTTTTTATCATGGGGCCTCACAGTAACGAGGCCATTGCTTAGCCACTAAATCATGACTGTACGCAGCGGAGGCCAGGGTACGTCGCCGCCCCCACAAATACAAACAACAAAGCAAATGCAACAAATTATCAATAATTCATTGCATTTTGCCCCGACCCCTAACATTAAAAAAATCCTTTATGTGGGCATGCCTTTAATCATAATGTATGGCCCTACAGATTAATTTGTCCTGTTGGGGACCCAGTTTTGACCTAAAATTGACCGGCGACCGACGGGAAATCGACAGGGCACCGCCCAGGAATCGTTGGGGACTTGGGGCTCTACAGCCTGCTCGAAAATCGTTGGGCGATACCTAAATTCCAGCGGCGACCGAGCAGACTACAAATCGGTCGGTCGCCGCTCTGAGGTATGACCATAACTTAACTCCGTTTCGGTGACGATCAGCCATACATCAAGTCTTTCGTCTTTTTTGTGCATGGCTGATCGTCAACGAAACGGAGGGACGCATTGTATTGTGTACTACTACCACTAATTGTCGGCAGAAACGAAATACAACAAGGAAGGCTGTATTACCAATAACATCAAAATAATATAAGAAACATTGTAATCAAAAGCATTTCGTGACCACTTGTTAGTCGTGGTGGGGGGGGGGGGGGGGAGGTGTTGAACTGTCCAGTATCTTGAAGAAAAAAAGAATGTTTCGCCGCACCCAGAATGACCCGTATCTATATAATGTCCATCCACATGTAAAGCTCAGTTAGTTCGTACTCTTAATTATATCGGCATTCATCACTTTAAAAAAATATATATATTTAACACGATAGCAGAGAATTTCGACAAATTTCAGTACTTTATTGCATGTTCGAATTTCGTAAAAGTACGTCATGGTCATATTATCACATTTTAATACGTTTTGGACAAGGCTTTTGAAATCTATAGACCGGTTAACTAAAATATTCTAATAAATTGTATGCAGACTGGATAAATGAGTTGTACTTCATCCATTAATAACAGGTTAATGGAATACTTCGTCACTAGGTTCCCAGGGAAGAAACATCCATAAATTTGAATATGTTTGTAAACCGAACTATTGCCCTGTGTGCGCAAGCTTTTAATGCTTCGTCGGACTGGCGTAGGGAAGCGTACTACTGCGTAGGCTTGGCGTACTGTAGCGTAGTGTTGCCTAGACTGGCGTAAACAAATGTGTATTTTCTGCGTCTAGGGTCTACGCCGAAAGTACGCGCGTCCATCTCGCGTACCCCTTTGCGTACGTCCCTCAGTGTATATTTTCGTAGGGCAGCGTACGCTCGGCGTAGTCGGTACGCAACACTACGCCACTATATGCATGGCCCGGTGTGAGAGGGGCTTTAGGGATAGTGACGAGTTTTGCCATTTTTTTAAACCTGTGATTAATGAATGAAATACAATACTTGGAATCCAATCTGTATATTTTACTTGTTGCTATGTCAGAAAAGCCTCGGGCAAGATTTCAGGTTGTCAAGGGCAATCTTTAGGGAGTTTGATGAATCGTTTAATACTGTATAACATTCTCGGTATGCATGGTTTGGTAAACGTCATTTTTGTGTACTTCTCTGCTCTTCTCCTTTCTTCTCTATAATCCCCCTCTTTCTCTCTCTATCAATATATTTGTTTCCTCTCTCTCTCTCTCTCTCTCTCTCTCTCCTTCTCTCACACTTTTTTTTCAATAAAATAATCTTAGACGTATACAAATAAAAGTATTATGTCGCGTACTAGTGAGTGTCATCCTAGGCTCTATGTTAACAAGATCAACTAAGAAAGCATGTTAATGTCCTCAATTATCTGATGCCTAGTACCTGGAATGGCACATTAGAGTCTTGTTTCTATTGAGTCTGTCATCTACATGTCTAATTATCGAGATAATATCTGCGGTGTAGCAGCTTTGGATTGATGCAGCGCACTTTTCCCTGATATACTCTCGTAGCCATGACAACTTCCCCCAGGGGATACCATCATTATCTCTGTAGGATAGACCACTTTCCTATGTTCTCGAGGTCTTCAAGTCGCTGGGATGGTTGTTATTCTTTCCTATTGTCTTTACCTTTGAATCGTAAAAATCAGTGATTATGAAATATTTTGTTTGTTTTGAATAAAAACACTTGATTTTGTCAAAGAGTATACTAGGTGTGGATAAATCCATCATTTTGTGAGCTTTCCGATCGGCCTATGAAGATAAATGTGTCAATTTTTGAAAAATTCATTCCAAAAAATTTCAAAATACTAAACTAGCCATATTTGATAGACAACAACACCTTTACATCTCCTCCGGGCTCCAGGTACATGCTCGTTTCAATATTTCCACTTGACTTAGTGACATTTAATTCAATCAAAACAATTTAATGATATAACGTGATAAGGAAGCATGATTAAGCGGGGATTATTCAATTCGAAAACAGACCAAAATGTTGAATCTGAAATATAAAACAACTTATTGCAAAAACTAAAATTCTACATGTTTTCTCAATTCTTTCATTCTTTTTCATATTTATATTTTCTTCTATGAAACACCTAAATGCTGATATAACTCCGCACAATAAAAATTCATTGAACAATATAATCTTTTGATTTTGTATATAAAATTCATTAAAATTTCTAATACTTAAAATCAATTACAGAGGATTTTTATGAATATGTTGTAATATATTGATCATCTTTTTTCAGTCATTCTTTTTTTCATAATGTACATGAAAATCAAATTAAAGTACGATAAAGATGCGACATAAAAACCCCGGTCCTCTGTGTGATTATATGAACATTACTGCTTAACCACACTATAGGCAGGGTGTAACGAAAGAAATAAAATTTTACGAACGTAACATAAGAGCTCAACAAAGACAAAAGAAACATGCATTTTATAGCAATTAACTAGTGCATTTCTCCTATTTATAACTGATAATATCATACCATTATACGATATTACTACCAGCCTTTTGTTAATTAAATCATTACAGAATCAATAACTTCATTCAAAATAAGTTTCCTATTACATACATAGTTTAATAGTAATAATGGAGGGGGTAAATTGGAGTGTAAAATTCGAAGAAAGATATATGTATACAATATATATTTTTGGCATCCACAAACCAAATTTTTCTCTTTGTTATATGAAGAGGTAAAGAGAGGACTAAACTAGCCGATATTATAGCAAATATCCTATTGTTAGAACCGAATAGGAAAACTGTTAAATCCCTTTCTTTCAAGATAAACCAAAAATAGAATGCTCTCCTAAATATTCAGTATAACTGCATTGGTGAATTGCATTTTCTTTATTCGTTGCAGGCGTCTGAAAAATATGAAGTATTCTACATCATCAGATCATTAAATCTTGATGGGTGCTCAACGGTTATTCAAATTATACGAAATCGAATATTTTTTGTGTGTAATTTGTACATTGAACTTCCTCTCTCTCTCTCTCTCTCTCCCCCCTTTCTCTCTCTCTCTCTCTCTCTATTTCTCTTCCTCTTTCTTTTTCTTTCTTTCTCTCTCTCTCTCCCTCTCTCTCTTTCTCTGTAAACATATGCAGAATTTGAATCGGGAAATATGTCTTTAACGGCATGCAGAATAGTGTTGGTTGCAAAACATTGGTTTCTGTTAGCTCTGGCATGACATATTGATGTGGAGATTTATATTCAATTTGATTCCGAGGGAAGCATACTCCCGCAATTCACCGCCTTTGGTTCTGTTCTCATTGCAGCTCCCATCTCCTCCTCTTATTTCAAATTTGTAGATGACTAGATAGGCCTACACCAGTGCACATTGCCCAAGGTATAATAGTGCACATGTAGAATATCACCCGTGATATTGAAATTAAATGATCTGATCTTTCGGTGTGATCAAACCTCAATGAAACTTGACGAAATTTGCTTCAATTCCCACATCAGAAACCGATGGGAGTTTACGGTGCAAGACTAGCTGGAGTTAATGGATTGAGTTCATTATCCGTTGATGCGCACTGTTGCAAATGCCCCCTCTCTATCCCACTCTCTCGAGTTACTCTTTCTCCCTTTCCCTCACTCCCTCCTCATCTCTCTCTCTCTCTCTCTCTCTCTCTCTCTCTCTCTCTCTCTTCGATTCGATTTTTTGTTTTACACGAAGCTTACTTCTCGCACGTACGTCCCACTAACGGCGAGGGCTGGGTGGCGCAGGGAAATACGGGCTGTACATGTAGTTTATTATTCAGACGACGGTGAGTGTTTGGGGAAAGAACACACCTTTTGTTTGCTGCTTCGTCACCAAAGTTGTGAAACTGCCCTTTCCTGTTTATCTCCCTTAGATGTTGAACTACAATAGCGGTGAGTATTCCCCATCATGTGTTATTTTCATTATTACCTCGTTTCTCTATTTCTTCGTCCGCTGCCAATGATTGTTATTCTCTAAATACTATTGTAATAGTAATAATAACGATGGATTCCGCCAGCTCAGTTACTCATGCAGCTTCCTTGTAGCTTGTTTCAAAATGTATGTATTACTTTAACTTCTCAATTACAACCATTATGAAAGTTATTGGTGCAAGTACATCGAACTCGTTTTCCTTTACGATAGTACTGTTGTCTCCGGAGCCGATGGGTCTACATAATTCGACTGCGTGGCACAACAAATTGTGCTGTCAAAGTAATGGGATTTTGCTTTTAAATCAACTGCTTTTTTTTCGTAAGTAAACGAATATCAGCTTCCTAGATTATTACATTACAGTGTGTATAATAATTTTAATTGATCGAAATCAGGCAACTGCACGAATGCCGTTTGTGTGGAGATATTTGGAATTCACTAAGTCGCTCATATTAAAAGGGTAATATCGACATGCAGCGTGGAGATCAATACTTTTCTATCGTGCCGGAATATTAGTCAAATTCATTATCCACAATTGCACAATCTTGAAACATGTTGTACTTTTATCGCTTCTACGCACAGTCGCCACAAATATTTCCCAAAAGATTGCCACTATAAAAAATGTCATTCCCTCGTTGTAAGATAATCACGTTTTAAAAAAATGGATGCTTTACTACCTGTGTCTGTTCATTCTATGCACATTTCTTGAAATATTCAGAATTGAATTCACGATGTTAACAATTCTTTTGTTTAATCTGGGGTAAAAACGTCGCGACGTCTACATTGATTTCAGTTTTATTCATTGTAAATTTTCCAAATTAATAGCTATAAGATAAATGATAATCGTCCATTTCGTTTCTGAAATATTGTGCAGTTACTATCATAATGGTTGGCAGATTCTCTTGTCAGAATCAAATGATTAACAAAAATATATATATCATGAACCAAATGTCATTAAAATATTCGTGTTATATACTAATTCCGGCTAGACTTTTAAAATATAAGTCTAGCAGTTGAAATTGAAATTGAAATTGAAATTGAAAAAATTACAAAAACCACCGTTCTATCAAAATGCATTTGTTACTTGTACACTATACATGTACATACTCATTACTTTAATGCAAGCGCTTATACGTGTGCATTATTGACCCACAAAAAAAAGCCACAGAGAGGGAGAGAGAAAGATGAGGAATAGACAACCAGAGACAGATACACACACGAACACAGTGATGGAGAGTGAGACACAGATAGAGCGGGAGAGTGGGTGGAAATAAATAGGCACAGACAGAAAGAAATTAGACTAGTATAATTGAATTCACAGCATGCTGAAATTTCTGAAATTTTCCCATGTAGTGGAAACCTAAGGAGCATTATTATTAAAGGCATAACGAAATTTCAAATGGAAATTTCCTTTGTAGTAGAAACCTTAGGGGAACGTGCTTACGAGGCAAATTAGAGACAAATTATTTAGAATTATACTCCAGATAGTTAATTTAATCTGCAACATTCGTAATATGGTACACATCATTTTGACAGCAATAATTTATAAAACAAAATTGGATGAACTAAAATTAGAAAGAATATACGAGTGAGTCTCAATGCTGCTTACTTCATTTGACTTTAGGTAGTGGTTAGTGGCCCACACATTTTGCTATAATTTCATTTTTTTTAATCCGAATCCCATTTCAGACACCATTATTGACTGCCAGAAAAAGAAGCTCTAAAAATATGGAATGACTATGATAATAATTACGCTCACTATTGCAGAATTCGACATCATTTGCAACGCCAGAAAGAGTTTCAATTACTTTTTCTAAAAGTCACAGAGCTTAATGACCCTATTATCAATTTCTTTAATGCCAAATCTTTCATGCGGGTCTTTTTCCGGTTAGCCAAAGAAAGTCATTAGCGCCTTCAAATCATCACTTTCAATCGCATTTTTTTGCAATTATGACGTAATCCGAAAGTAACGAAATGCTGAATACCATGCGTATGGTACTATGAGAGGAATCAGCTAGTTTTGATGACATAAGTCATTACTCATCTCATACATTATGTGTGTGAATGTCACTTTTGTTTGCAAAAAAAAAGAAGAATATTTGTACATCAGCGACAATACAAACTGGTCTCATACAGTCGTAGGTTTATTTGCCTTACACACTAGATCATGTTTCACTGGCAAATATGTGTTAGTCGGACAGCATTATTTATGCTTTCCCGTCGGCCCTTTTTGTTTTAAGATAACAACATTACCTTTACTACATGTGCCATCCGGGAAATCAAGGCACGTCCTGATACAACTCAATTTCAATTTATAATGATCCGACGCCGAAAGGCCTGATATTGCTTAAAGTTAGGTGATTAATTTTAATGAGATTAGGAACTCATGGTTATAAATGCTTTTTCAAAAGTGATTATCGCTCATTAAATCTCCACACTATGTAAGCGCGCGTTGATGATTTACTTGTTGAATGATCAATCAAGCCATTTTGTCATTCGGTTTGCTCTATCTGCATGCTGGATAAAGATATTCTCAATTCTCTTTTGTTAGAATTATGTCGAATCTATTTCAACGGGATCTAAAACCTAAGACTTAAACCTAAGCAATCAATCTGAGGGAAATTTCAATACCTGTCATGTATGTTGCCTTTAGAAATCATATTCGGATAACGTCATTGTCATGTCATTTTTAAAATGTCCTTGGGTTGATTTTTGGAAGTCTTTGCGATCGTATTTTTGTTCTTTGTATTGATGATCTCTATAAGCTACACATGTACATGACACCATCGAGGTCTGAGCGTGCACTTTGACTCCCTTTTATAGAATTGATCAACATTTTTGTTTCCATATTGAGCCTTCGATGAATAACGATCGAGAATTCGCGTTTCACGCTGTGCTTTGATTTCAACCAAATTCTCCCTCGATTACTGCATGCGGTCAGAGCCGCTAGACTGGGTTTAATTTGTGGTGTATACCTTTTCGTTCCTGGCATTAAATAAATCTTGGTGCTAAATTTGTATTTCCAGCTGTGAGGCACTTTTCTTCACAGTATAAATGTATGCAGGCGAGGAGGTCTTTTCTCTCTCTCTCTCTCTCTCTCTCTCTCTTCTCTCTCTCTCTCTCCCCCCTCTCTCCCCCTCTCTCTCCCTCTCTATACATACACCCTCTCTCTTTCTTTCTCTCTCTCTCTCTTTCTCTCTCCACCGCTCTCTCTTTATTACATACATACTCCCCTCTCCCCCTCTCTCGATCTCCCTATTTCTGTCTCTGTCTCCCTTTTATTTCCAATCCCCCTTTTATTTCCCCCTTTTAAAGAAAATTGGACAAAACAATAGAAAGATATGAATTTTCGCAAAAGCTGAATGACTATAGGTATGGAATCGTCAAATTGTCTGAGTTAGTAATGTCTCTGCGATGTAGTGGCGGACAACTTTCCCATTTGTTCCAACACACAAAATTACTTTGGGTCTTTTCTTTTTAGAGAACCTGTATTATGTATATATTTTGAGTAGTGACCCAAGGAGGAAGGCGATTAGAATAAAGACATAATAAAATGGTTCTTTCGTACACGACTAACAGGAGAGTTATCTGCAACTACGTCACAATCCACTGACTAATTTGCCAATTTGAGATACCTAGTGATCCCATATTTCAAACGTTCATAATTTTCTTATTATTTGTTTAAAACTTTCGCCATTCTGTTTATCTTATTTTTCTGCTTTCATTCAACAAGGGTTGGATTGCCCTTTTAAAGCTGTATTTTTACATATATTTGCCCCGTCTATGTTATGGTTCAGTGAATCAATCAGTGGTCTTGGAGTCAAGAGGTTCCGGGTTCGAAGCCGAGACGATTCGTGGAGCCATTCGTTCAGGCATTTAAAACCGTACCCACCCTGGTCTGATTATTGCATTACCATATAACCCTTATAATTGCCCTTTTACCTTTTACATGTTTAAAATTATTGTTATGTAATTTGCCATTTTCATGTACTCTGAACCTGATTTAAGTGCAACATTTTTAGTGAACTATTTTATATTTACCTTTGTTAATAGTGATAATAGTAATAATATTGATATAAATTACTGTACCATAATACTGATACTAAAAATATTTAAAATAATGATGATAGTTGTAATAATAATAATAATAATAATAATAATAATATCAATAGTAGTATGTTGTAGTTAACGAGTGCTAACTGGCACCGCCTGTAAGAAAATAATTTATGATTATATTTGTACTTAATCTTTTTCATTATGATCTCATTGCTTTAATTATTACATGTTATTACCTATTTTGTCTCCTGTAATTTTGATGTTTGCTTTTACCATTGTGAAAAAACCTGTAATTCGGCTTTCGAGCCGCGATTGATTTTTTATTGCAATAAACCATTACTACTACTACTTGCTAATCAACAAACACACAGGTCTACTCGATTTCTCATTCGTCAGGTATAATAACCACAAACAATAATCTAGAAATAGACATTTGCAGACGAAAACAACAGCTGTCGCGCCTAAAAATCAATAATTTGGTGTGATCTGCGTATTCAGCTTCCCTTTTCCTCAGTCTGCAGCAGATATTTTGTTTATAACTTATTTGAGAGCAGTATATCTAATGCAATTCTCTCGAAAAACAGATCAAAATTATTACCAGTAATGATATCTAAACCATTCACCGTTTTTATGTTGCTCAAGTTTGCTTTCGCGATACACTTTCTCCAAAACGCAACGACAAGATATCTTAGAATGAACTACCAGAGAGGAAATGTGATCCTTAATTGGAAAATTGGATGTAATTAAATCAACGTTTAGGAAGGAAAAAAACATTTTCCTCGCAGGTTTTCCCCATTATCAATCTTATATTTCCTGAAATTTCGATTTGATACCCTTCCTATGTAGTATCTTATAGAAGTGCGGAAGTCCATTAGTGCATGGATGCTGCATCGGTGATTTATTTCGG